TTTGGCCGGGAAGGAACTCTAGGTCATAGAATTGACTACCTTCTCCTTGAGGGATTGGTTTTCTGACCTGACGGAAGCGTTTTCTGTCCGGATCGCATTGTTCTCAGCTTCCAATGCCGCACCTTGTCAAGTTTGTTGCATGAGAGCAGTTAGAGCTTCCAGTTTGGCCTCGAGGCCGGGGTTAGCGTATTGGAGTTGTCAGCCATGGAATGTTCCTCCACGTAGCAGGTTCGTCGAGCCGAATGATTGTTAGAGGCCCACGGTGGGCGCCAAACTGTAGACGTAAAAATCTACCTGTACGGAAGGGGGGTCTGATCCCGTGAGGTTAAGGCCACTAGCGATCCGCTACACCTGCACACGTAGAGAAACACACGCGTGAAGCGAACGGGAAACACGGGGTGTGTTTGCCGTGGCACTCCGACGCTCAAGTCAGCAAGGCTGAAAGAGGTAATATAGTGAGGGCTAGGGAGTAGAAGTTACCGGAAGTTTAGTCAGGGACTGTGACTACGGTGGTGATGGGAGCTCTCAAGTCAGAGCTTTCAGTGTGAAGGTGTAATGTCATCTGTCCCTTGTGAGAGGGCTGGCCTCTGTTATATAGTGGTCGTCTGGTCTCCCAATCCTGGTAGAAGTAGGAGTCCTAGTATGACTCTGATGCAAACCTAGAAGAATTAGGGCTGTGGTAAGCTGCTTCCAGTGTCCGGATAGGAAGGTGATTCTGATTAGGAGAGTAACTCCGAGTAAGGAAGTGATCAGGAATAGGAAGGTGACCTTGAATGGGAGATTGATCAGGAGTAGGAAAGTATTCTGAGGGGGTTGTGGGCTCTGGATTCGCCCATAGACCTAGGAAATGGACTGGGATTAGGAGGCTCGTGCCCACGTGGTTTGGGCTGGCTATATCTTGTACCGAATGGGCCTAATCTGGTTGGGTCATATCAGGATTGGGCCTTGCTTCTTCTTCAGTGTCAAGCCCGTTTTCCTATTCGGGCCAAGGACAATTTTTGGCCCTAACAAGGTAGATGAATTAATAAAGAAGGTGTGCATTTTTATAGTCAAAAGGTGCTGCCTTGAGGTCTTGGTTTCCTCCATTAAACCAGCAATTTATTTATTTTTCTAGCTAGCTCTACTATACAATATAGGTACAGTAGAACCTCTCTATAGTTATAATGTTGGGACCAATTAAATTTATTACTATAAGGAGGTTATAATTTAATAGAGGTGTAGTTACAAGAATTATTGTTTTGAAATATTATTTTATAATTCATGTTTTAGTAGTATTAGGATTTCAATTCATTGTTTTAGTAGCATTAGGATAGCACGAAAATGGATATCAAAGAGTCACTGTAAAATTGAGTGACCAGATTTGACAACTTTACTACACTAATCAAATGGATATTAATGTCTTCCTCAATAATCCAAATAAGCAACTAGTCGTGTATGTTTTAACTAAAAAAGAAATCATTACTAGAATTAGATAAGAAGAGGAAGAAGATAATTTTGAGGATGATAGTAGGGAAAAACCAAGAAGCTCTAAACATACTTGAGAGCTAGAAATATTTTGACTTCAACAAGAAGGTGTCCATGCTGATGGCTTATTATGTACCCGGGAGATAAAAGATGTGGTAACAACTCTAAAACATAAATCATTGTCCCAAACAACTATAGATAAATATTTTATTTTATCTTAAACCTTTAATGTAACATAGTATATATTTTTTGCAACATGCATATACTTATTACTATGTAAATGCAAGTTCCTTAAGACGGGATCTAGAAAAATTATAACTTATTACAATGTAAAATTTATTCTTATTTATAATTGGCCCAAGTTAAGACCGGAAGTTTTTATGACTACATGGAGGTTATTCCTATATAAAGTATCACTATAGAGAGGTTTTACTGTATTTTTAAGAAGAAAAACCAATTCGTACCAATGTTACGTACCCATTTTGATAATGGGTAAATGTTAAGTAAATTGTATTTTAGGAGTTTTCTTATGGATTTATTTGTTAATTAATATTGAGTTTATCTCAACAATTTAAATAACTTAGATTAGGATATAGATAAGTTTTATTTTAATAAGTCAACCACGTATTTAGGATTCTTTAGTTGGGGTTGAAAGTGTACTTTGGTTTGTTTAAATTGTTGAACATGTTTCCCTATTTAGTAGGGAAGTATAGTTGTAAGCTCTCATATATTTCCTAGATTTCTATTGGAATGAATGTGACGATTATTTGCATAAAGGTTATATTTGATCTCTGGGGGTTTCTAGCTCCCTCAATTGAGCAATAATTGCTTTCTTCTCTGTCTAATATCAAAATAGGTCGAGGAAAGAAAACTTCTTCAAGCACGTTTGTATCAAGTGGTATCAGAGCCCAAGCATGGATCACCGAATTCAAAAACTTGAGCAATCGGTGAAAACTTTAGCAGCGGGTCAACAATTTATGAACGAAATCCAAATGCAAACTCATTGATAAGATTGATCAATTAATAGGTCACTCTTTTGAGGAGAATAGAGAAGCCAAGTGCCCCATTCAAACCCTTGCAGTCATTGTTAAAAATTGCCCTGTTCAAGCAACTATAGTCCAATCATCTTTCCCTTAAGCTATTGCAGTCCAATCTTCTTCCTCTCAAGCCAACATCTTTCAATCTTCTTCTGCCCAAGCCACCACAGTCCAATCTTCCTCTCAACAAGCCACTGCAACCCAATCTTATAAAGCCACTACAATATCGGAAAGTATACGGAATTTGTTTGAACTAATTTGTCTTTTGCTCAAAGCTATCTATTTTACCAAAACAAAATCCTTGAGGACAAGGGTTGTTTCAAGAGGAGAGGAATGTTACGTACCCATTTTGATAATGGGTAAATGTTAATTAAATTGTATCTTAGGAATTTTTTTATGGATTTATTTGTTAATTAAGATTGAGTTTATCTCAATAATTTAAATAAATTATATTAAGATATAGATGAGTTTTACTTTAGTTGAATAAGTCAGCCACGTATTTAGGATTCTTTAGTTGGGTTTGAACGTGTGTTTTGGTTTGTTTAAGTTGTGAACGTGTTTTGCTATTTAGTAGGGAAGTATGGTTGTAAGCTCATATATATTTCCTAGATTTCTATTGGAATGAATATGTTGATTATTTATATAAAAGGTTCTATTTGAACTCTAAGGTTTCTAACTTTCTCAATTGAGCAAGAATTGCTTTCTTCTCTATTTAATATCAAAATAGGTTGAGGAAAGAAAACTTCTTCGAGCATGTATGTATAAAGTGGTATTAGAGCATAGGCATGGACCAAAGAGTAGAACACTTGGAGCAGACAATGGAATCTCTTTCAGGAGGCCAGCAAAGTATTATCAACCAATTGCATGATTTATTTTCTCAACTCAACACACGCATTGATTAGGTTGCAGGCCACCAAATTCAAGAAAGTGGGGAGAATTCTTCAGCGTCAGCAAAATCCAGCGGGCAGTGACAGGAAGGAAATATTGCTCATGCAAATCAAGGTTCAACATCATTGTACACTCCAAAATTTGTAAAATTGGATTTTCCTCGTTTTAATGGAAGTGAGGATCCAACAAGTTGGTTGCGTAGAGCAAAACAATTCTTCTAGTTTCATACAAACTGGTTTTTCTTCTTAAAAGTACCTAGATTGTAGAGTAGAGCTAGTTGGAAAAATAATTTAATTGTTGGTTTAATGGAGGAAACCAAGACCTCAAGGCAACACCTTTTGACTACAAACACGCACACCCTCTTTATTACTTCATCTCTCTTATATAAGAGATTACAATTAACAAAATATAAAAATAGTAGGAGCTAATGCCTAGAAGATAGGAGATAATTACTCTAACAATCACTCTACCACAGTCAAATATTATCCTTATTTGACTTATTCTTATTTCACTAATTCAGCTATAACTCATTAAAAAACAGACAACTTAATTAAAAATATATTTATTTTTTAAGCCACATTTTACCAAACGCATCAATTACTCAAACGTATTAATTATTTATCAGTCACTTATAAATACTTTAACCAAACACGTAACTGCTTAAATTTCAAATACTTATAAGCTCATTTTCATACGTTTGGCCAAACATGCTCTAAGAAAGAAGCTTAACCCTTGAGGCCTAAGGTATAATCAAATAACAAAAGTTTCCCCTAAGATTTCATAAATAACAACAAATTTCTTATTGTTAGTCTACCGTTAGAGTTTATAACGTGATAAGTAAATGATTATTTACTCAATTGCTCCCCTGTCGTTTATTTTAACATAAAAAATTATAAAAAATTAATAGTAGGGGATTTCTGTTATTTCTATAACTACAAGGGAATTTTATTAAAAATTTTAAAATAAGGTTTCAAAAATTAAGAAATATATATATATATAAGTTTAAATTCAGCCAACGTCTGTCAAATTTGCGGGCGTGTTTGTTATTTTTTGGAACTCTTGCATGTTTTATTATTTTTATTTACTAAAACCAATGAGGAGGTACTTGTTATTCTCCCCTCTTAGATAGACTAAAAGTTAATAAGATATTTAGATGGGATAGAAATGTAAATCAAGGTATTATTATTCTTGATCTTTTATCTTATAAAGTTTTTGTTTCTTTCACCTCTCACTATCAATTGCATCAAATTGACTTATATCTAATCCCAATTTCATCAATCCCAGTAGAATAAATTAGAAAAATAAACAATTTAACCATTACCGTATTACCTACCAACCAACTAACTAAAACTTAAAAAATAAAAAAATAAACACCATGTTATAAATTATAATATCGAATGTTTTTAACACATGTTTAAAAGCTGTGAATTCATATACATTAATGTATAAAGGCATGATTTGATGCCCTTGTCTCATGCTAACTACGTTGTGACTAAACCCCGTATTTGAGTTGTCGATGCAAAAACTAATAATAAACACGTGATAGTTGCTGTCTATATACTATTATTAGGGTTTGTTTCATTTGATTAATACAAATGGCAAGATAACTCATTAGTTTAAATACTAAGAGGTGAATTGTTATTTTATAAAACTTACATGAGGGAAATGTAATTGCCTCATTTATTAGAGCGTATATCTACCCATATGATCTCATGATCCTAATTTAAAACACTGAAATTTTCACTTAATTTACATTTACCGATCAAGGTAAAGACATAATGACTCTTAATTAAAAAAGTTTTAAAACTGCCTTAACATTTATAGGAAGCGAATCCCACACGTTCATTTGACAGATCAAAGGTGACACGTGTCCCCTGTTGTTGAACGTTCCCTATAATTTGCGGAGACGAGTTCGTTGGAGCAAATGCAAAACAAAAAGTCCCGTCCGAATCCACCGGAATCAAATAATTCTCGGCGGGTAAATCGAAATATTTACCACCAGAGAATATAAACGACACCGTTGGGACTTTTACGGTTGATAATCCTGAGAGATCGTAACACGTGTCGAACAGAGCATAAGGTCGGGTGGATTTCAAGTTGCTCGTTTGACTTCGAAACGCGTCACGTAGCGCGTAATAAGCCTCAATCTCAAGCCGAGATACAGCGGTCCCGCAATCGACGATGATCCCGCCGTTGCCAGATTTGTCCAGTTCGAAAGTCGACTCTGCGATTTGAACCGGATGACCGCCGACAGCGAACCCGGTGAGCCCTATGTAGTAAAAAGTATTGGTTTTGCTGCTTTTTGATAACGTAGTTGTGACTGAGTCACTCGGTACAGGTGAGTTTAACTCAAGAGTACCTGACTTGTTCGAGTCACGGTCCACTAAACAATAAGAAAACGACGTTGCTTTGAGTTGTTCAGGGAGAGAGAGCGAGCCACCACCGAGGCCAAGCAACCCAGCAGCTGCTGTGAATAAACCTTCATTGTCGTGGCCACAACCCATGGCGACTTTTTCCACGTATCCACTCTTCCCAAACGAGAGCGTTTCGGTCATGAGAGTGCCAACTGTGAAAGACCCGTCACCGTACGTCACTTCATAAAGACACCTGTCTCTACTACAAGCTGACACTTCAAGTTGATCACACTGACGAGACTCGCACGAGACAGACTCATAAGAGGACGACGAGGACGGGTCGAAAATCGGGTCTGATTGATCGTAACAGTCAACACAAGGTTCACATTGAATCCAGTTAACGTCACTGCCAGTGTCGATCACCATGTAGAACTGCTCCGCTGGGGACCCGATGCCGATCCGAGTGAAGTACTCGCCGCTCCCTTGGCTCTCGCCCGACACCAGCGGAGCCGATAATTTGCCACCCTGAGTAAGCACCTGATTATCAGCAGATTTCACCTCCCCTTTCTTCAGAGCACGCTGGAGTTTGGTGACCAGCGAGTTAACTCGGGTTAAATCCCGGTCAAGTCGAGCTTGGAGTAGGGATTTGTAGTCTTTGTGTTGGGTTTTGTTGAGGAATTCTCTAGAATGAAGAGGGAATGAAAACGAAAACGAAGAAGAATCAAGAGAGGATTGTTGTATCGTTTCTTGAGCAAAAGGTTGAAAGTCTGAGTGACCATTGAGGATGTCAAGTATTTGAGTTACTCGTACAAGAGCGGAGGTGACATCAAGAGGAGATGTTGTAGTGGTGGGAGTGGTGCGGGAGAAAGTGACGGAGGTGAGAAAAGAGAAAGAGAAGAGAAGAGTGACGAGAAAGAATGGGGTAGTTGTCGCCATTGTTGTGTTGAGAGTGAGAACGAGTGTGAAGACAGTTGGGTTATTGTGGGTTTATATTTAAAAAGCCAAAAAAGAGAGATGGTGTAAAAGGCGATAAGAGAATTAAGCTCACTGCTCACGTCAAGCTGCTTGTTGGCAGATGAGATAAAGAAGAAGCTTTAAAGTCTTGATTAAAGTGCGAAAAACAATTCTAGAGACCTAATTATGAGCTTTCCCGCCACATATTTAACAGGGGAAATGAACGTCGTAGAAGACCTGGTTTTTAACTGAGAAATAATTCATTTTAAAAATTCAAAATTTTCAACCGTTAGTAATTTAATTAAGAGTAAATACCTTTTCCGACCCAAGGTTTCCCATAATTATTTCCACCCAAAAAGTTTCAAAGTACCACTTTTTTACCCAAAATTTATATTTCGTTAATACCCAAAGCCTATTTCGACGGTAAAAATTCTCTCCATCACCACTTTTTAAACCTCCGATCTCTTCTCTACAAAACCTCTCTCATCTGGCACCTAATTTCTTGCCAATTATTAGCCATGCAAAGTTAGAACTTCCTGTTCTTAGCTAATTTTCAGTTGATTCGGATGACGAATATTCAATCGATTACCACCACTCGATTTGTCGACCTCTACTCTACAAAACCCCTCTTACTAGCTCTTGGTAACACGTCGAACGACAACTGAGAAAGTGAAGTGTATTTTGAGTATTATCAAAATATAAATTTTAGATGGAAAAGTGATATTTTGAAACTTTTCTGGTAGCAAGGTGTCTATAAGGCAAACCTTGGGTGGGAAAATGTCGTTAAATAAAGGGTATTTTGAGACATATTCATAAACATATTATTTTTCAACTAACACCCACTAATGGGTTATTTAATAAAATGTCTCTTATCCATATATCCAGTTTTTATTATAATGTGAAATGTATTTTTCGTAGTTTGAAATTAACATATTTGTAATTGACTTGGTTGATGAACAATAACTCTTTAATTCTTAAGATTACTACAATTGAATTGGTGTAAAAAAATATCTCAAAAGATTAATTTAAAAGGAAGATGTTTGTGTCTATTATTTATTTATTTATTTATAACGTGCACATACCATTACATATAAAGGTAGTTGACATTTTACATTAGAAATTTTTCATTATAAATAAGAAACATGTTGCTCTGGTTATATTATCATGATTTTTTCTCTTTAATAAGTAAGATGTGTTAAACCTGTAGACCATTACAATTAAATTGGTTTTTTAATTCTTTTTTATATTTATATTTAGATGGGTATAATTTTTAATGCGTGCTTCTAAATTCAACAATAAATTTAAAAAAATATGCATTTTTTTTTTCAAAAAAGAAACTATACATATAGTATAATATAATTTAAAATATAAAAAATCTGTAATTTTTAATGTAATTATTCTAGAAGAATGGGTAATAGGTGGCAACCGCCATTAGGTGGTCTAGTTTTCAATTAAGATTTTTGAGTGTATTACTCAAGATGTTTCAATCATTAATTTTAGGGTTTAGATGATTAGTTTATTTGGCAACTAGCGTGAATACAAGACAAAAAATTCAAAATGGAACAAATTTAGGAACAAGTTATCTATTTATATATTAAAATTGTACATTATTTAATATTTATAACGTGAAAGGAAATGGTTGACTTTAATCTAATTACAAAATTAAGAAACATATTGTTCTAATAATTTTATCATGATTTTGTATCTTTGTTTGTTATAGATTTTAAACCTGGTAAGCCTGCATACTAGTACACAATTATTTCTTTTTAACTATAATTAGTCCTTTATAATACAAAAATATCACTCTCTACAATAATGTTAGGTTGACAACTTATTTTATAACCTCTGACGTGGTAACTTGTCATTGGTTAGCTCGCAAATGGATAGATGAAACCCAATTTGCGAGCTGACCAATAACGAACTATTATATCAGAGATTGTGAGATTTGATTGTGGATCTAGCATTATTCCACTTAAATTCATAATTTTGTTGACATGAGAAAAAAGAAAAAATCTTTTGAGTAAAATAATTATTTTATAATACTCTAATCCTCAAGATATACACCGACAAAAGTTTTCAGAATTTTTTAGAAATTTTTTAATTTTGTCCCTTAAATTCAGCTTTTAACTTTGGTCCCTTCTTTAGTTAAACTTGACACTTTGATCTCCTTATGTACTTTTATAAATTTATCTTTTTATATTATGACCTTGTTGTTATGAGCATTACATTGTGACCCCAATATTATGTATTTTTGTTATTGTTTAAAGCATAGACCTTTTTTTGAGTTTTTTATACTTTTTTTTGAAAAATATAGTATATCAAAATCATCATGTTTAAACAATATTTTATCGCATCTCACATTGCTTATCGAATGAACCTATAATTAACTTTATAAGACCTGAGTCGTTAGAACCAATTATATGCATTTTAGGTGAATGACGTTTGTGCGAAGTCCAATAACAAATATGTGCTAGCATGAACCCAAAAGCAGACTATATTAACGAAACCGGTATTTAACAATTGGTATTAGAGTAGACTCACTACTCGAAAAGGTAGGAGTGCACTTCACAAGAATGCGAGGTTCACAATATGCATGAACCCTAAAATAAAATCCATACAAACTTTATCTCAATAAACAATTTCTACTTGATTTATTTAATTAACTCGATTTAGTATGGAGTTGGCTTGGAATAGTACATAAATGAAAAATCTATGATAAAGTATTCATAGATAACTAAATCCTTGAGCTAGTGTAGGATGATATAAGTATAAAGTTAAGTTAATTTATTTTATAATTATTTTCAAAGACTGTACTACAAGTTACCAACCCAATTAATTGAAAATTTTAAATAATTTATGTAATTAAAGAGAAGGCTATTTGATTTATTTTTTATAACTAGCTTTAGAGGGTAGAAAATATTAGGAGTGTTCAAAACGGGTTAACCGATTTTGTAAACTGAACCAGTTTGTCGGTTTAGAAAAATTCCTGAATCGAAACCGAACCGGTTAAGGGGAAAACTGATTTTAATTTAATATTTAATATTTTATAAAAAACCAGATTTTAATTTATTTTATATTTTAATTTAATATTTTTTTAAATAAACAAGTTAGTAAAATCGGTTTTCATATTCTTCCAAACCGGTAATCGAATCGAAAACTCGGTTTTTTATTGTTTTTGAACCGAAACAGAATCGGTTTTTTGAATAACCGAACATTTAGTTTAGTTTCCGGTTTGGTTACCGGTTCGATTCGGTTTCTTCATTTTTTTGAACACCCCTAGAAAATATAGGTTTGGTCCCAGACTTGATTCATTAAAAATATAAATTAAATTAGCTTAAGTTAAGTGAATTTCTAATACTTATCTTAGATAAGAAATTTTAATGTTTATTTCTTGCTGTCCTATACCACTCCCATTGGGCTAGAGATAATAACAATTTCTCATTATATTCATTTATCAAAAATTAATTTTCTAAAAAGCCCATTTTTAAAAATAGATCACTGTAATAGCTTCTTAAAAATTAAAGTAATTATTTATTTTCCATAACAATAATTATTCCCCTCTTAAATGAAAAAAATTAAAAAAGAAATTGAAGTCGAAGCCTTCAGTCTTCCACTCAGCTCTCGCGGGCCAAGCGTGGTCAAAAACCAAACTAAAACCCTAATCAGCCAAAACTCTCTCAAAACCTCTGCAAAATTACACTCTCTCACTCTCTCACTCTCTCTGAAGCTCCAATCATGTATGGAGGAGGTGAGTACTCAAATAAACTTTAAAATTTTCGCATCTTCGGAGTCTTCTGAATTTGTTCGTTTATCCTTTTCAAACATCTAATTTTTTTTTATTTTTTTATTTTTTTTTGTTTTTTTATGGTTTAACGCAGATGAAGTATCGGCCATAGTTATCGACTTGGGCTCTCACACCTGTAAAGCTGGTTACGCCGGTGAAGATGCTCCCAAGGCCGTCTTTCCTTCTGTAAGTCCTTGTTTTATTTGATTTATTGCATAGTATTATCTGTTGACTACAATGTGCTTCGTTTCGAGGGCAATTTTTGATGTTCTGTTCGGTTTTTAGTGATTTTGAGTTTGTTTGTATGATTGTTAGTTCCTTTATGAAAATTGAGTGGGGGTGTGGTTGGAGCTTTGTTTGTTAATTTTCAATTGTGTTGGAAGTTGAATTTTTGTGTTGATTTTATTTTAGGTTGTTGGGTCAATTGATCAAATGGATGTTGATGACTCTGGAAATGCTGAGAGAAATAGTGGGTCCGGTGTGGATTCTAAGAACAATGTTGATTCGAACAAAGGGAAAGGAAAACGCAAATTGTATGTAGGAACACAATCCTTAGGGTATCGCCGTGACCATATGGAGGTCAGTTTGTTGATTATCCTCTTTTGATAGCTGGAAAGTTTAGTTTTGAAGATTTTGCTTTGTTATTTGCTGTGTTATCAGGTTCTATCACCCTTTAAGGATGGAATTGTTGCTGACTGGGATATTGTGGATAGTATATGGGATCATGCTCTTAGGTAACCGTTGTTTGTTCTGGTTTGTTTCCAATTTAAGGTTTGTCTGTTTGCATGGTTTTGGAATTGCAGTGAAACCTAAAATTCAAAATCCATTTTTCAGATCCCATAAATGAGTTTGGGTTTGGAATTTAATTACAATTCCACGAGCCTCAAGTTCGTAAATCCAAGTCCACATGAATACTAAAGAATGCTAGTTGGTTTGCTTTCTTCATTAAAGAATCATAGTTTACTACTGCACTCTCTCTATCTATTCCTTCCTCCTCCCCCCCCCCCCCCCCCCCCCCCCCCCCCCCAAAAAAAAAAAAAAAAACTGATAGAGAATAATAAGAATAAATGGCAGACAAATAAGTGTAAAGATACGCATACATTAAGATGTTATGCATCAAATTTTCTATGGTTCTAGAAAAAAAAGTGTATTTCACAAATGCCATTAATGAAGAGTTATTTTATTCATATAGTATTTCTTAAAAGTAAACTGAAAATTAGAAAAAAACCAACATGAAGTATAAATAGAGTTGGATCCAAACAATAGAATTCTAAGGTATTAAATCCCAATTCCATGCCACCAGATGCAACATTGAGTGAAAATTTATATTTCCTGTTAATTATTTCTGTATTCACTGATGCTGAATTGTTATTACTGTTTTAGGGAATGTTTGTTAGTTGATCCCAAAGAGCATCCAATGCTACTTGCTGAACCATCTTCAAACACTCAACAACAGAGGGAAAGGTGATCTGCCACTCTGAAGTTTTCTGTTACTGGTTTATGATAGAAGCGTAATTTTCTACTATTTCAACATCCTTGCATTTTGCCAGAAATTATTATCTATGTGGCTCACAAGTTGCCTATGATGGCGCTATATAGGATTCATGTGTTAGAGATGTAGCCAAATTTATAGATAGAGATGCTACCTTCTTGGCAGCTTATGCTCCTCAATTAATGGTAGTTTTCAGTTNAATTATGAGAAGATAAATTAGTCATTATTCACAATTTTGATAAAATCAATTTCGTCATCATATATTATTTTCTCACTATAAAGCTTATCATTTGGTATTTAAATGTAAATCAATTATGACAAAATATTATTTATAGTGATAAAAATTGTCTTCTATTGTTACAAATAATTTATCACAATAAACTAGTTTAAAGTGACAAATTATTATTGTCACAATAAATAATTAGGCTATGTTGACCAATCTCTCTTTTGTTATTATACACTTAAGAGTACGAGCTTAATGTGACCAACCTGGTGACCAATATAATTCCTCACATTAAAGAAATGGTCACAATTTGGATATTTATAGTGACAAATTATTTTGTTGTGAGAAGCCTAAATTCTTGTAGTGATGGTTTCCACAAAGATTTCATTCATCTGATCTTGGTTTATACCTCAAGAGACTCATGAAATTCATTCTTTAACATTTCATCAATTTTTCATAAGTCAACTAAATAAGCTATATGCATTACCATTATGAATGCAAACATATGGGATAACATCTCCCATGCTTAATCATACTATTCATTCATTTAACATGTACCCTTGGCCAATTGCACAATTCATCAATCAATTTAGCAAAACTCCATGACATGAATATTTTCCTATTAAATTCATTAACTTAATTCATTTGATTTCTCATACAACACAAGGAATTTCAACATTAAGATTCTTCAGTGGTTTATTAGAAATTATAAAAAAAAATGGGAATTTTTATTAAGGAGGTGGATGCCATACAGTTCGTCACTTTTCAAGCAATTTTTTCCTCATCTTCCAATTCGAATTGATTTTTTGCTAAAACATAAAAGTTTTAGGTTTATTTCTCAAGTTTTTAATACTTCAAGACTCAGCTCAATTAGACTTTTATAACTTCAGTTATGACTGATTCAACTAAGCATGTACAATATAAGTCTTAAAAAGCCAAATCCGAATTCTATTCATTTTTAACCAAGTCACATTCATTTGCACATTCATAGTATTTTCTACATCATTCTAAGTATAAAAGGCCATAAAAACCTCCCTTTTTACAAAGCCAAAAGTGCCAAAACATCATCCAATTACAAATCTATTAATTGGCATAATCATTCTCCATATGCACACATACACCAATCAACACACCCATTTAAACAATACATAACCAAAACATAGCATCATACTCAAATTAACATAAATAGATGTAAGTATCATCAACCCTAGGTGTTATCAATTGTAGTCATAAGGGAGATTTTTTTTCCTTACCATCTTATTCAAAGCACAAAGACACTTCTCCTTAGCTCCAAAGGTTCACCCTTTCTACCTTACATGCATAACCACTTATGAATTTCTCTTTCAACTAAAAATCACAACAAACTAGGGTTTTAAAACTCAACTTAAACCCTGAAATTGAAGTTCTTTAAGTGTGGATGGTGATCTCCTACGAAATTCAACTTGAAATCCTATGAAAATTTTGAGAGAGAGAGCTTGAATTAAAGCTTTTAATGAAGAAAAATAAGACTTGAAGAAGAGAGTTTGGTGTTCTAAAAGTGTTGGCTGACTTAACCAAGAAAATATCTTATAAATATTTCATTTTTTTTAATTCCCAATTGGGATTGACCATCAAAAGCTAGAGATATGAGTCATTTGGTATAAATTTTGCATATAAGGGCATTTTGGTCATTTCCATTGCAACATAATTATTACACTCCTTTAATGCCATTAAACTTCTCTTTTCTACTTGGTGACCAAGTAAATCCATAAGATAATTAACTAATTTACCCATAATACACTTTTATGGATACTTGATTCCTATAAATTATTGTGAAAAGACCATTATACCCTTTGGGAACCGTTTATGCCGTTTAACCCTACTAACCTCCTTCATGACCCTTTAACCATATTTCTTATCAGTATCATCAATTCCTAACACTTTACAACATTCACGTCTCATAATGCATGCAAAATGACCATTTTACCCTTTTATTGATAAAAATCCTTTTAAGGGTAGAATTACATACCTTATAGCATCGGAACGCTGACGCGGGGTTTTACAGGCTCTCTGTGTGGATACTGAAGTGCGATTCTACTCTTGAATCGGATTGTGAAGAAATCATGTTCTGGTCAGCAGTACATGTGAACAGTGTCCCATGAACAGTACCACTTAGAGTGTCTGTGAACAATGACATGAATAGTACCAAAAATGAAACGTGAAAGAGCCTCCAGATGTTGGTATGTAATCTAATCCTTGAATAGATTAAGTTTTAATTCATGAAAACGCTATAATCTATACTCGGATTCTTTGGGTTCAAAGATTTAATTGAAAAATTTTTATTTTTAATTGCGTTCTCTATCGATTAATTCCCTAACAGTAGTATCAGAGCCTTAGGTATCTGATTATTACGTTTAATTTTAATTGAAAAATATGTGATTTGTTGATTACATGTTTTTGTTTGATTGAATTGAATTAAAATCGATTAATTAAAATTTGTTGACGAATTGCGTTGGGATTAATCTATAATGCTTCTGCTTTATTTAAATTAATTTTGTGAAAACCCTAAACGTGCACCACCTTAGGTGGTAATGCACGACTACTGTGCATTGCCGTGCGCGGTAGCAGTAGCCCACTGCCGTGCATTGTGTTGTGCACTGCCGCGCGTGCAACAACTTCGCCTGCAGTAGCTACATCATGTTGCGCTCTGCCGTGCATGCAATAACTTTGTTGCGCATTGGCTAGCGCAGCAGCAGTATCATGTTAGGCGCTGCCATGTGTGCACCAACTTTATCGCCGCAAATCTATGATGGCCATGTGTGAAAACACATGGCCTTGACTAGCACATGGCAATATCAGCCATGTGCATCGATCTGTTGTTGTGCGAAATTGCAGCAGACCAGTTTGCGAGAGCAAGCAAATTGTCCTCGGGGTTTTAGCTCCCATTCGTGTTGTAGCCCGAATTTTGGTGCGAGGTCTTCTGCCACGTGCTGCTGCATGTATGAGGGTCGATGGGGAATGGATGCCTAGGTCTTTCGAGACTTGTAGCATGGGTTTTGAGCTAGTTGTTGAGCAAGCAGTTTTTCTGCACGTTGTTGCGGCAGCAAGCAGATTGTCCCTGGGGTTTTAGCTCCCATTTGCGTTGTAGCGTGAATTTTTGTGCGGGGTCTTTTTCCGTGTGTTGCTGCACGTGTGAGGAATTTTTTGGTATGCCTGCCCAAGTTTTTGAACTCATATAACATTGGGTATCGAGCAATTTACGAGAATGCAGTTTTTCTACACGTTCTCGCGTGTGAACTGATTGCATCCTCGTAAAAGTGTTGATTTTAGAGGCTGTAGTGAGTCAAATGAATCACGAATTATGTCATATGAAAGAGGACATGTTGATGCATGTCCTGGTAATTTAAAAGAGCTGCTGTCCACGTGCGTTGTTGCGCACGAGAGCGTTTTCAAGCAGTCTTCGTATTAACGCGTTTTGGACTGTTCGGGTTAATGATCGCACGTTGTTGCATGCAATTTTACTTGAGGATTATTTAAAGAGTGCGTTTGGTTCAGGGAATGTTATATTACTGGAAAGATAGATTACTAGGAAATCTTTAGCAAAATTTGTTTGGTTGGTTAGAATAAATTGGTAGGTATGTTATAATAATATGTTTTGTTGGGAGGATAAATGAGAGGATATGTCATGTAGATTACTAAATTTCCCTCATTTTTAAATAATAATGTAATAATATAATATTGTTTTTATTATTATGTTATTCTATTATTTTTTAAACTATTCTTTTAACCCTCTATATTTGAAATTTTGCTAAAACACCCCAACCATATAAAACTTTAATTTGTAGCAAAATCACCCCTACCCACCCCAAGATAGTAAGGCTGGATCTGGCTGGTCGTGCGCCAGTAAGGCCTAATCTGGCCATGGATCAAAGATCCGCCAAAAACAGCTACATCTAGCTGTGAATGTAAAACGACCACAGATCTGGCCGTGAAACGGCGACCATTTCACGGCCAAATCTATGGCGTTTCATGGCCACATCTTTGGCCATGAAATGGGTAGATCTAGTCGTTTTCGGCCATGGATCACAAATGGCCAGATCTGGTTGTTTTCGGCCATGGATCACAAATGGCCAAATCTGGTCGTTTTCGGCCATAGATCACAAATCCATGGCCGAAAACATCCTTACCGGCACAGGACCGGCAAGATCCTGTCGGTCTTGTGCCGATATGACGACTTTCTTCAGCGGCCAGTGGTGGTGGCTAGCGGCCAGCTGTGGTCTTGGGTGGTTGGGGGTATTTTGTTAACTTTTAAACTTTTTTGTGGCTAGGGTGTTTTAGCTAAATTCTCAAATGTAGGGGGTCTGGGTAATTGTTATTTGGTAGACATATGAGGGCAAATGTGTCTGAAATGATAAAAGGTTAAGGGTAAAATAGGGTCAAAATTAAGATTACCTCGGTAATCTTATATTAACACCCCTTGGGAAGATAATCTGATTACCCCTAATATTACCAACAGTAAACATACTATTTGCAATAAAAGATTACGTAATATTTTATTACTTGACAACCAAATGAGAGAATCTTGAAAATTAAAAAAAGATTACAAGATTAATCTTATATCATCCCGAACCAAACGCAACCGAAGTGTGTTGATGCACATTTGCTAAAATTTGGTGGTCCAATAGATTAAGTTCATCAACAGGTACTAAACTGCAAAGTTTAAAACCTATTGGACCTAATGTAATTCTACAAATATTAAGGGGTAATCATAATTATCTACA